TACTTTCATGATCCTGTAAGTTTATTCCAGTTCCCTGTCACTGTTTGGTACCTTGTTCTTTCTCATTCTGATATGACAGGCTAATAGTCAATATTAGGTCCAGAATATATTACAACCCTCTTGAATTATTTGTGACTTCTACTAAGGAAACAAAATATTTGGCAATGTAGCCAAATATGACTACATTGATCATCATAACAATAAAACCTATATTATAGGCTTTCAATTATATGGAGAAAAATTACACATATATTCTCATAAAGAATTTTGATCCATGGTGTAATAAAATTTGTGACATAAAACTAAGTAATAGAGGTTTATATTATTCCTTTAGGCCCCTTGCTTAGATTTGTTTGTTGAAGAAAGTTGTATCTCTTTATTGATAGTAAATCAATAGATTTACTTTTGATAGTAAATAATAAATTACCAGTTTATCAGAAGGAATTCTGCTATAAACTCCCTAATTTATACTCTGAAACATGGCTACTCCTACGGCTTTATTTTTCTCACAGAGGCAGGGTAAAACTCCTTTCAGTTGCATGGGGGGGAATTCAGAATCAAGAAAAACTATCTACTTAACACCTTGAATAGAAAGAACTATGATACATAAAGTACAGCAGGTCCTTGCCAAAAGTATGCTTGGCTTATGATCGTGTTCATTTGTTAACATGATTTACTTCCAGGAAAACACAATGAAGACCTCTTGGTAATCTAATAGTAGGTAAGTCAAAGATAGTCTCATACCAAGTTAGAATACCTTTGTTTTAGCTTCCTTCTTTCACTACCTAGCTCTATGACCATTTAGGCTTATGGGATCTAATGTGAAAACTGCTTATTTCAGAATAGATCTCACAGATCTTCATCAGCTCTAAAAAAATTCTGAATTATGGTTAAGTTTTTAATTGACTTTCCTCTATAAAAAGTGTAATGAGTACAAAATGGCTTTGGGGTAATGTAAATTATTTTTCAAAAGCTGCAACTACCATATGCAAACTTAACCAATTTTGAGATTTTTTCCAATTAGGTAATATGTTTATATGGTTCAAAAGGACATACAATTAAATATGACAACTTGGTATGTTTTCTCTGCTCAAATGGATTGGTTAATTTTTTTGCTTTTTTATTATCACACAGTCCTTACTGTATGAAGGATTGATTATACTGTTTATTAATCCACTTAACCTGTTGAAAGAAGATGCTATAGAATTAGAGATTCCATTTTTAATAAAAATAGCAATGTATCCTAAAGGAGAAACACTCATCTGACAAATTAACGAGTAAAATAAAGATTTTGTTGCTCTGGTACTTGGAATTTTTAGGTGTTGGTCAACTAATGGAGTTTAATTTTCTCTCATTTCTATTCACTTGATGAGACCCATTGCACTATTAAGCTTCATGATTTATATAGGTTGATAACTTTTTTTTTTTAGCAGTTGATATTCAGGTGACCGAGTTCTCTATTCTTTTCACAGAGCACGTCCTTTGCCACCTGATCACACAGATGATGAAAAAGAATAGAACTCTCTTAATTCATCCTTGACTAATGTCTCCTGTTTATTATTCTAGGATGTAAATTTGGATAAATGTATTTGTTCCAATTAGCTTTGTTGAATAGGCATTTAATTTAAAAAATGAGGCTTATATAGAGTTACTCAAAAGCAAGTAATTATGATATTGGAGAATTTGTAAGATTCGTTATTGGTTACTTACCTTGGTATTCAATATAACGCAGTATTTGGTTTCTTTTACCGGTTATTAAGCTTCTTGTTCTTGCTAAAAATTAATCATTGAATGGTGTTCTAATTACAAATCTGCTGTATTTGAGATTTTCTTAGATCTTTGTACTGCTGCCATTTTTATTGGCGTTTGATTATTAGAATGGTGCCGTATTTTTGTTCCTTTTATTTGCTTTAAGAAGCAGAGTTAGATTTTTGCACATTAAAAAAATTCAGTATTAATTAAACTGAACCTAACCCTTTTTAAGAAAGAGGGCCAAAGATGCAATGTGGAAGAAATTTGGATGGCTATGTATCTTCTCCTTAAGAGCAATATGGCCTGAGAATTTAAACAGTTGATAAAGTTTCTAACAACAACAAAGCAGATAAAATAAGAATTTTAGAATTAGACAGGAAGATTTCATAGACTACATTAAAAGAGAGAAATTTTCCTAGAAATGCATTTGATTCAGTATCATAAAATACAACCTTTTGGGCCTGTACTTTTCAAGTTGGAAATCAATAAAACATAAAAGGCAAATCATGCCATAAATCCAGAGATATGTCTAGAGTCCTTAGAGCTACCATTATATATTTTAAGATAACCAGGGGTATAATTAAAGAGGTGGGTATAATATAACTTAGTAACTGATATTCTTGCTTCCTTATCACACTTTTTGCTTCCTGATATTCTGTTGTCTAAGTTTACCATGTTTTAACAAGTATGTTCTTCTGAAGTTTGTTTTTAATAAATGAATACTTATTTTCACAATAGATTATCCATTTGTGTGCTTCCTAAGATTACCTCTTACTAGATAGTTCTTTGTTTTTCCTTCCAAATACAAATCAGTGCATTGATCTGATTTTTATCAACTTCCGAACTAAGTTTTGATGATTGTAGATTATATTTTTTTGCTTTGTCTTTTAGAGATGGATATTAAACAGAATGTTACCAAATTGAGAGCCAAGTTTTTATCCTTAGTACTTCCTTGATAATTAGTTTTCTTATTAAGGAGTAGCTCAAACCAACTCTATCAAAGTCAAGTTTTGATGGATCTGAAATCTGATTTGCTAGTTTTCACTGATGGAGAGAGAAACTTCATGGTGCTGTATGCAATGAAGTCTAATACTGATATGTAATTGTTTCTAAAAAAATTTGACCTAAAGCACCTAGTCTTTCCAAATATACAACATATGATGATGTCTCACTTTAATTAGGCAAAGATTCCATGTAATCTGTTTCATTGTCAAAACTTTTGTGAAATATTGGCAACTTAGCCTCTTCTAAACATAAGGGAAGTACAGACTCCCTGTTTCCATTGAAAATTGAATCAAAAAATAAAATTTATACATTAAAAAAATAATTAAACAAGTTTGTAATTTCATACCCTTCACAAAGTTAATCTGGTTTTCCTCTGGTTTGTTAAAATTATGTTATATTATTTATTTATTTATTTATTTATTTATTTACTTAT